GTCCTTAAGATGTGAATTTTAGCTGTTTGGGGCTGAAAAATCCAAGTCCCTTTCAACTTCTCCTGTACTTAGTCTTAAGTTCATCATGTCCCTTTCCTTACAAAAATGCTAAATCTGCAACCGGTTGGTTGTGGGTATCACTTAAGCTGCTCTTTAAAGCCCTAAATAGTCTGCATACAGAGTGTCTGAAGGAATTCTGTTTAGGTACACAAAAAGAAGACTGTTCTCAGGATGGAATGTGTCTATTATCCTACCACAAAATGATGCTCCCTTTAGTTAAGGTAACTTGTCAAAATATAAAACAGAAAAGATATCACCAATATAAGTCTGATTGTTATATTACTTATAAAAATGACACCTTTTTGGCTAATAGCTGGAAACCGGGCATCCATGATCTACATGAAGAGGTCTACAACTGTGCAAATTGTGCTAAATTTCAAATTTTGCAATAAAAATAGCCACAGGTGCAGCAAGTTACAAACCACTAGAACTTGATGCAGGGAAATTTTTACCTAATTTGCAGCATGACCTTGAAGATACTTGATTCAAATTTGATGAGAACTTCTGATCTGCTTTAGTGATGCTTGTTAAAGAGATGTGCCTTTCATTGGTTTAAGCAGTGGCATTACTTTTCTGCCCCATTAAAGCTGATGGCAGCAAAGAGTATCAGCTGTTGTTAAACCTATGTTTTAACTATGTGTGCTCAGAGTTATTCATTCTGGTTCTGGTCTGGATCAGGTATAATGCACCTTCAATTTACATCAACAAAAATTCATCCAGTTGTAAAGAATAATAGGCTAAGTTGAAAGCTCCTACTCTTTCCTCCCAGGCTTTGATCCAAAATGGGTCATCTACATATACCCTATAACAAAAAACCCCCAGCAACTTCTTTAAACAAACGTGCATTTTTAAAAAACTAAATAGAACTTTTGGACAGAATTTTTAAATGACTGGCTGACTAAACAGGCAAGTAGAGTTCCTGATCCAGCACAGGTGTTTCATGTACTGAAATGCTTCTGTTTTCACATCTTCCTTTGCTGAATCAGGAAGATAGTGGAAAAGTAGCAGTAGGGCCATAGATCTTTGCTTTACAATTCTGCATAGTGGTTGTGATGTTGCACTGAGACTCAGGAGATCTGTGTTCTAGTCCTAGACCCTACTTGGCCATGAAACTTGTTGGATTACTTGGGGGCAATCACAGACTGTTCTCTTTGACCTTCCTCAAAGGGTAAAATGGAGAGGTAAAGTATATAAATGTCTTTGGGATCCTTTCAAGAGAGAGAAAAAGCAAAGGGACATAAATGTAATAATACATAATAAAATAAATATTCATGGTCAATGGATGTTATCTATCTGACACATGCAACAGAAGTGATTAAGCAGAAGCACAAATCTCATGTATATTATGTACATGAAGCAAGAATCAAAATCCATCTTCCAAGAATATCATGTAGTTCTTAATTGCATAGGCTACATCTTCATCACAGATAGTTCAGGAAAGCCTTGCAATTAAACAGAACATAAAATTTATATTGCCAAAAAATGAAATACAAATAATACAGCAGCACTTCTGCCCCTGCCCCCCATGAGAACGCAAAAAGGTTCGCACGAGAACAGATGAATTTGAAAGGTCACTGAATTCAAAGAGCCCCAAAGAATTGCATTCTGGCATATAATTCACAATAGCCAAGAAATCAAATGCTGAAGATTGGTCTGATATTTGAGCCATTTTCAGATGTAAGGCCCTTGACTATTGTGCACTATATTCATGATAGCATTCGTGTTCTTGTCTGCTTGGGACTGCAAAAATAAATTATTGTCAAGCACCTGGCAGAGGATACTATATTGCTGCAGTGTGCTTGTGTGCGTGTGTCTGCATGCTGTGCAACAGAATGTATCAGGGACGTCTAATGCTTGTTCCCAGCATTAGAAGAGCCTGATGCTGGGAACAATGGATGGCAAAAGAAGAAGGGGATGGCAGAGGACGAGGTGGCCAGATGGAGTCACTGAAGCAGCCAGGGTGAGCTTAAGAGGACTCTGGGGGAGGGTGGAGGACAGGAAGGCCTGGAGGAGTGTTTTCCTTGGGGTTGCGATGGGTCAGACATGAATTTGCGACTAGCAACAATTGGGCAAAATGACTACTAGAGCTTCCCCATGAGCAGACCCAAAAAATAGGAAGGCAGGACACGTTCCAACGGAGCAAAGCTCAGGGAGCCAAGGTTCCATTTGGATGCCAGGAAGAACTTCCTGACAGTCAGGACCCCAAGGGTGTGGAATGGGCTTCCACAAGAGGTCATTGAGGCCCCATCGGTGCGGGTGTTCAAGGAGAGGCTGGACATGCACATGATGGGCATGTCATGAGAGGAGCCGGCTGGTGCCGGAGGTCAGACTAGATGGCCCGGGAGGCCCCTTTTGACTCGCTCTGTTTCTATGTTTCTATATTTTCCCAAGAAGTATTGGACAGAGAAAATGGTCCAGAAAATTTAACTCCATCAAACTCAATGACAAAGATTCCAGTGTGTACCTGTTAAATCGCCAAGCCACTGAAAGCCACCTGTCAAGCTTTGAACTTTGTAAATCATCCATATTTTCCTCTTTCTGCCCCATAGTTATCGTGACCCTTCATTCAATGGATCTCTGCTACACTGCCATGGTTCAGATCTATCTGTTGCCTACAGTTCCATTTTCTCAGTAACTACCACAGAACCTACCAACCATGTCCATTTTTCAGGCTATAATGTGAGAACCTGACTCATTGAACATATTCTTAATGTGGCTCTGAAACATGGGGCCTTGGAAGAGACTGCATTAATAGTTCAAATGGTATATAAAGAATTTTGATTAAAGAAATTGTATGAAAAAGAGCTTTTTAGATCACCCATCAAAAGCATGGTGTATGTAGAAAAATTGAGGTTCGTGTGCAGTGGCTGAGAGGATGAACCTGCCATTCTAAATCTAACACAGAGGTCTTAAACTACATTTTAAAATATTCTTTGGGAACCAGTGATCTGTGCCAAATGTTCTGGATGAAAATCCAGCCTGCTCAAAATGTGTCCAGTATCCATGGGTTATGATGCTGCTGATGACATTGCATTTATATCCCACCTGTTTCCTTTTGAATAATATTTTTCTAGTTTCATCTGAAAAATGTATCTTGCATAAAATGCAGTGTATCTAAAAGTTTATGCAGCTATTTGCTTGCACATGGATAGACCTAAAGTGTAGCAGATTGGCGTGTGTGACAATTCTGTTTGGGAGCTGGAAACCTGATGGAGCTCTGGTCCATCTCTCTGGATCTTGTTCCATTTTCCCCCAACTAGCATCAGCTCATTTCATGTCAATTCAAGCTGTTGTCCGAATTAGTGTGGTTTTTCTGTTGGGGGACGTGGGAGGTTGTTTGAAGCTTGTGCCTTTTTTTTGTTGACATTGGTTTTTCACAAGTGTTCCTGAGCACTTACGGAGGTCAAAAATGAACATCTTTGCATGACCAATGTCCTGAAAAGTATCTGCTGTCAACATTCAGTAAGTACCAACCATGGACGCTGATCAAGAGAAGCTACAAACAGATGAGCAGCCACCTGAGAGGTTGCTGAAAGGAAAGATGCAAGATCTGTGCTTGTGAAAGGTAATGGTGCCATGCAGGACTGTCTAGGATTTGTGTGTGTTTGGTCATTAAGATTTTCAGTGTCCTGCGCCTTTTCTACTCTCACTTGGGCCTCTAAATGCTCTGGAAAGTGGGAAAGTGTGATCCACCACATTCACAGGAGCACAAAATTTTGGCAGCTGTCAGAACAAAGGCTTCCTTTTATTTATTTTTTTAAAACAGGACTAAGCAGTTTGTTCATTTTAAGCAGGAACATATACAGCCTAGAGTTATGGATGTATCAGTGAAGGGAGCTGAGGGTTGAAGCACTGCTCTGTTCACATATTATTTGAACATGGAAGGAGGAATGCATGAATAGGGCTCTAGAAAAGCTGATATCTGTATCACGCATAGAATATATATCTTCACCAAATCAAAATGGAGACCCTTAGAATCTGAAGTTTCCCACAACAACGCAAAACCCATTATTTAGAATCTGAAATTCATAATTCCTACTAGAATTCAAGCAGAGGAATAAGTTAGATAGACTGGACATTGAGAGCAATGAACAGTGGGGAACAAAGTAAATCTGCTCATCCAATTATCATAGCTTGTTATCCCAACTGGTTCCCTTCTCATCTTCAGATCTTTGAGAGTTAACAACTTGTTTATATTTGCACACATTCAAATTGTCATGCCTAGGAACCAGGCATGAATTCACAAGTGAGAAATGCATACTATACAAACAGTCCTGTTCAAATTCAAATATTAGAAGGTTACTCTGAAAATAAAATAAGGAAGCCAACTTAAGCTCATAGGAATCATAGAAATGTCACAAATAAATAAAATGATAAAGAAATCATTTCAAACTAGAGAGTGCAGCAATTAAATCTAGCGCCATTTGGATGCAAAAGGTGCTTCTCACTCTCTCTGTCATGCAGAGAAAGAGCGAGAGAGAGAGGGAGAGAGGGAGAGAGAGGGAGAGAGATGTGGAGGAGGGGAGAGAGGGAGAGAGGGAGAGGGGAGGAGTTCATGTCAAGGATAAAACCAAGCCTTAGCAACCCTGTAGAAACACTAGATCCAGGAATACTACCAAAACATTTTGCTCCTCTTGAACAAAGGCTATTAAAATACATAAGGATCTCCCCATTGACAGCAGTGAGTTTTTGACTCTGTCATTTCTGCTATCTTGGTCTCAATTGCCTCAACAGCATTAGTAAACAAATTTCTTTCTTTTCATCTCTGTACTTTGGCAGGCCTTCTTGTGCAGCAGGGGAAATGAGTCATATTCTCTGCAGATTGACTTATGTTGACAGCTGTCTACCTACGCATTATGTTTAAGCACAATGAGCAAAGCAGCATTCGAGAAGCAGTTTTCCTCTCATATCAAGGAAAGTTGGCATTCAGATGCACCTACCTGTATGTGGTTCGACTGAAAAGTATGGTTGGCCCTCCAAAATGCTGTACACCAGCTTAGCACTGTTTCCATAAACAGGATCATCAGCATCAGTGGCAGTCACTTTAGTCACGTACGTACCTAATGGAAAAGAAAACCATATCTAAACGAATAGGTCAAACCTTTGAAGTATATGTCTGCAATCTGTTAAGAAAAGATCCAGTGTGCTTGGCCCTGTTTCATGTTAACTCACAATAACTCATGTTATTGAAGTTACAAATATACCACTGATAAGGAAAATAGAGAATAGCATCAGAGCAGTGAAGAAACAACTGAAATGAGAGCGAGCAATATCCAAATGATCAGAAGTCCTCCAAAAACCTATGAATGAAAGCCACCTCTGATAATTATCTGAGGATCTAAACAAAAAAAATCTCCCCAACCTCAGTGCCACCACTCAAAAAGACTGAATCACACAGCAGCCCTTTCAAAGAGCATCTCAGATCCAAACTTGTCCATGTCCACACAGAAGGGAGCATGTACAACATGTCTATTGACAAGCAAACAGTGAAAACCTCTGTACAGAATATCTACTCAGAAGTCATCAGGACTGAGTCACCAGCAGCACTTTTAAATGCTATCTCAAGTACAAAAGCTGTGCAGATGTATTCAGCAGGAAACACAAGCCACATCAGAATCGCAAGTAAGCAAAGCAAACCTCTACATACATGTGTGCTCAGAAATACACACAGGACAAACCTCTGTAGCACATGCCTCAGAAGTAAGCAGAAAGGAATCATTCAGCAGCCTGCTCCCTGTACCTCATCGCCTCTGTCTGGCAGATAAAATTGCATGTCTCTGAACAGCAGCTGATCAAAAAAGTGCTTTCCACGACTGAACACTAAGGAAGGGAGCTGTTTTCAATGCTCAGCAAGTGAAGGGTCTTCTTTCCTGCTGGAGATAAGAGCTTTTCATTGACAGGAGCTGAGGCAGGACCTGGGCAAGAATCTGGCAGGATTTTCGGGTTTTTGCACAGTGGGCAATATCTCACAAGTCACACGTACGGAAGCAAGGGCTGGGTAGAATAACTGTGCTTGTACAGTGGCAGCGTGTGCACAATTCAGCCTCGCTAGCTATAAGGGAACGCGCACTTGGACTTGCTTTCGGCCAGCCGCCTGCACAGTGCAAGACAGACTTGGCAGAGATAAAACGGGCTGGAATCTGGGGAGCCAATTTGAGGAAACCGATGGATTCTTACCCCCACAGCTATTAAAGAACTCACCTCCTCCCAAAAGTAAGCAACCAATAAGCATTGCCCAAACATACAGATCTGAGAAGTGTTAGGTGTTACATAAGGCAACAACTAGCTCATGTAATTAAAAAAGACATTATGTTGCCCCATATACTTGAAACTTCATATCTGTCAAATTAAATGCAACCTAAGATACATTTTCCTTTCTGAAATACATACCAACAGGGTACTTCAATTTATTTTCCATTCTTCTTTATATTGTACATATCATATTGGTTTATTCATAGTAGATATTTATAAGCATGAATTGTGAATCTGCAACTGTTGGCCTCAACCAATAATAATCAAGGGAGCTCTGAAAAAGTGGCTGAACTGAACCTTGATGCTGACAAGTGCTTAAATTGCTTATATTGCCATCCAGTGATAGCTGCCGAATCATAACTACATCCTTTTGAAAGATATTAGAAAAAGAAACATAGAAACTGAGCAAGTCAGAAGGGCCCTCCCAGTTTCTGTTTCTGGGTAATTGGTTTCATTCTTGTACTGCTCTAACAGTCAGGAAGTATTTCTTAATGTTCAGTCAGAACTTGGCTTCCTGTAACTTGAACCTGTTATTCCATGTCTTGTGCTCTGTAATGATTGACAACAGATCCTGTCCTTCTTCTCTGTGACATCTTTTTAAGTACTTGAGAATGCTATTATATCTTCCCTCATTCTTCACTTCTTCAGGGCTAAACATGATTAGTTCCTCCAGTCCTTCCTCATAAGACTTTGTTTTCAATCTTGTTGCCCTCCTCTGAATCTTCTCCAGTTTGTCTGCATCTTTCTTAAACTGCAGTGCCCAGAATGGGACACAGTACCCAAGACAAGGTTTAACCAGTGCTGAGTAAATGTGATTTGGAAGTGATACTTATGTTTATGCAGCCTAAAATAGCATTTGCTCTTTTTGTAGCCACATCACATTGTTGACTCATACTCAGCTTGTGATGACCATCAGTTCCAAGATGTTGTTGAGCCAAATGTTTCCCAACTTGTAATGATGTATTTGGTTTCTTTCTCCTAATTGCAAAACTTGGCATTTCTCCCTATTGGATTTCATTCTGTAGTTTTCAGCCCAGTGCTCCAACCTATGAGTATCACCTTGAATCTATTTTCTGTCTTCCAGGCTATTAGGTATTCCACTCAGTTTTGTGTCATCTGCAGATTTGATAATCATTCCCTACATTTCCTCATCCAAGTTATTAATATGTTTTTATTCCATGTATTAACTTTAAATTTCCAGAATTGTCAATTGCTGCACATTTGGTGTTATTAAGTGTTATATAATATTTTATTGCTGTTGTATATTTTTTATTCTGTGAACTGCCTAGAGAGCCTCAAGGGCTATGGGGAAGTATACACATGTAATAAGCAAACAAACAAACAAAAACATTGAAGAGCACTGGTTGTAGGACTGAACCCTGTGGTACCCCATTAGTTACTTCTCCCAAGTTTGAGAAGGTGGCACTGCTGAGCACTCTGGAAGTCCAATGCTGTAGCCAACTGTGGATCCACCTGATCATTGTTCCATCTAGCCCTCTTTTAGCTAGTTTGCTAATCAGGAGATCATGGGACACTTTATCAAAATCTTTGCTGAAGTTAAGATACATTATCCTGGGAATTTATTTCCTGAAGTCATTTTTCTCCTACGCCACGCAAATTTAAGCATTAGTGTTCAATCTCTGGAAGACAATACTCTTGTACAGCTTGAACAAAGGGTATAAAAAGGTAAAGGTTTCCCCTGGATGTTAAGTCCAGTCATGTCTGACTCTTCAGGGTGGTGCTTATCTCCGTTTCCTAGCCGAGGAAGCCAGCGTTTGTCCGCAGACAGTCTCCATGGTCATGTGGCTGGCATGGCTAAACACCGAAATGCACGGAATGCTGTTACTTTCCCACTGAAGTGGCACCTTTTTATCTACTTGCATTTGCATGCTTTCAAACTGCAAGGTTGGCAGGAGCTGGGATGGAGCAACAGAAACCCAGCCCATTGCGCAGATTCAAACCAGCGACCTTTCGATCAACCAGCCTAGCAGCACAGCAGTTTAAACCACTGTGCCACCTGAATCCCGAACAAAGGGTATTGGATTGAATAATTTCCAATGGAATGGGTTGGAAGATTGGTCTAGGCCACCTCCAAAATGGGCCTGGCCCAATTAAGTTGGAAGGTTTGCATCAGCTTTTATTACTGTGTCCACATGTTCCTATCTTGAAGTGGGACTTATCAATGTGAGAAAAAAAAATCATGGAATAAGTTAGGCAGGGCTTTTCTTGGCTCCATTTTCATCTCTACTGATGCCAACTTCATAGGTGCTCCTTTTGTGTATCCTATCCACAAAGGTTCTCAGAGAATTAAGGATTGTTAATACTTTCTCTTTCCCAAAAGAGGAATCAGTGAATGACCATATTCCTGCTCACCTATGCTAAGTCTGTTACACCTTCCTTGATTTCACCATCTCCATGGTTCAAGGATGTGTGTGGGTACATTGACAGACAATGTGGAATCTAATCTGCCTCTAAAATGCTTCTCTTTCATCTGGGAGGTTTTGATTAATTTAGTTCCAATTTTCAAGGTCAGCTTTTCATTGCTTGGGCACTCCTGATAGGATGTTCTATCACCTGAGCTGTGTGCAAGAGATATAGCACATTCCTGTAGTGGGTCTTATATCATAGGACAGAGCTATAGAGTACAGGCAACTATTTCGATGTTTTCCTATTTGCTAGTTGTGGAAACACAAATCTATGTGTCCTGCTGATACAGGAATTTCAGTCTTTTTCCAGAGATTTAGATGTCCCAGTTGCAGATGAAAAGACTGAAGGCTCTTATTCTACTTGGGTTTCAGCCTTGGTACATGTTGACACTTGAAAGTTCAGCTTGTTTGAAAGTGACAGACTTCCTACCTACTTCCAATATGACCTTTGGAAACAGGACAATCTGCAAAACAGCATGTTTTACATATTTTAAAATGCAAAGTGATATATTAAATCATGTTATGTACACAATGTATGTGATGTGCACACATCTTGATATGGTGCATTTTTGTGCAGATCAACACCTTAAATCTCCATATACTCTTTTGTTGTATAATGTGCAGATTGTGGCCTGTTTTAGAGCTGGAAGTTTGTAAGTCTTGCTCCAGTGCAGGGCCGACAACCCAAATTCCAGGAGACTAAGTCATGAAAATCTGTTGGATTTCCATCTTCCTATTGAGTTCTTTACACATCCCTACATTAGCAGTATTACAAATAAATGCATATCCCTAATGTATAGGGTGGAGCTAAAACATGGTCTCAGTTTATTATCTTCAACATGCAGCTTTGCACAGGAGAAAGCTGTCTTCAGAATAATAAAATGCAACACAAATGGTTGTGTTGCAACCTTGCAATTAATGCAATCTTGCATTAATCCATCTTCACCTGATTGTACCACTACAGACAATCTAGTTTACTTCTTGCAGAACGTGCATGTATTTTAAGTGGTGGTGGGGGGGGGGGATGATGCTGATGCTGTTGTAAGTGGAATTTGCAACAAAATGCAATTGATTATTTCTCTGCTGGGCTTCTGCTAGCCAGTCATTTATCCAGGATTATAAGGGGCTCTCCACTCTCTTACACAGTTTCTGTTTTTCTCTTCACCTAATATTCCACAACTGAGCAGCAACAGTTGAGCTGCTGTAGCACAAATTTACTACATCCTCAGGGCATTAGAAGAGATTATATTTGAGTTCCCTTTGAGCTCTATGGTTCTAGGAATCTAGAAGTGGTTGGGCTGTTTTGAATCTATTAAAATCACCATCACCATCACCATCACTGAAGTTTTGAATACCTGGGATTTTTCTTTTTTTTCTTCTTC